ATATTCTGAATAAATGCTTATTTGTGGGAACGGAATGTCAGGTCTTTTTGATAGAACTTTTTTATGAACACCACATATAATGAGCTCATATTTCCTGTGCTCTTATCCCTGGATCGCAATGAGAGCACCACTTTATGCCTACTTTTCACTGCTTATTAGATCATTTGATGGGAAATTCTGTCCAACATTTTATATAATATACTGTATATTGACTTGAATTTAAATGAGTTCTTCTCATTCATTCATATAAATGATGCACTTTTTCAGAGCCCTAATTATCCAAATCATTGTTCAGCTGCTCTTCAGTTTACACCACACTATCTTTAAACAAACCTATTCTATGGTTAATATTAATATCTCTTCACAAAACACTCCACTTAATGACAACCAATTAATTAATATTTTTAGTTTATTTTAATTTTTTCGCTAAATATATCTCATAATAAGTACGGATTTTATTTGGAGAGCACTTTAATTAAAACTCAATTTGACACCTTCTCTGACCTGATATCTGATTTTATTTATAAATTTTTACCCAACAATAGATCCGAAGTAAAGAAAACACTCATCTCTTCTCTTGTGACACATTTAATGAGATGATAGAATGGCTTAATTGTCTTCAAATGGTGGCCTTCGGCGCTAATCATAGCTTTAATAATATCAATACAATTCACTCCAAAAGCCAATCCCTCGATTCAAATGCAAATCAATTTAACACTAATAGCAGTCCTTTAAATCAAAATAAATTATCTGACGCTCAGAGCGAAGAAAATCTATTGTATTCTTCTGTTGACGGACCCGATGTGTATCGGTACGAGTGATCATTAATTTCATTTATATCACATCTCATTGAAATTAACTCTTTTTAAATAATGATTGTTTGGTTTAGAGTGAAACTCATTGATTCCGAGACATCCATTCGGTGCGGTCTTAGGAGTGGCTTTGATTCAAACCTTACTTTAATTGTCACGTCTGTGAATATATCGCTGTCAGAAGAGGGGAAAGTGTTGTATACGTGGCCGTATCGGCACATCCGGAGATACGGCTGCACTAAAGATGGTTTCTCGTTAGAGGCCGGACGCAAGTGTGCTTCTGGTGAGGGATTGTTCTCTTTCATCACAAAAGATGGTAACTCTATATTCCAAGCGGTGGCCACTCATGTCAATAGTCTCAAGGCTTCCCGTCATATAACTGATGAGCAAATCACCGGAATTAACACTTTGGGTGCCATTAATATCAGCCCAAAACTTAATTCTAAAGAATATGCATTTTCTTCGAGTCATTTCAATAGTAATAATGAGTCCAAACCATCACTCCCTTCGACATCCCCTCCACTTTCAATGAGCTTTTCATCAAAATTGAATTATTTCGCCACAAATTCATCACTACTTCCCTCCACTAAAATTCCAGAGTCAGTAAAGCGTCATTCAATACAACCACCAAAAAGTCCTCAAATAATCGCAAAGCAATCATTAAATCGGGTCACTTCGGTCTCCACCGCCAATACTATTGCGGGTCCGGGCAGTGACCCCAAACCCAAGGCCTCGCCTCCTGTTTCAAAGCCTCCGCGAAAGAGCAAAGAAAGCAAAACTGGCTCTGAATCAGACGAACCAGTGTTTGCGTCTCGAGAAGAAGTGTTAAACACTCCGCCGAATATGAATTTTATAGAAACTTATAGACCATTGAAAGATGAGCTCTTATACGACGAACCCGCAGATCTGATAACCAATACCGTCACCAATCAAGAGGAACAGCATATGAAGAGTCCCTTCTGCCCGAGCCCTCCGCCCGTCAATCAAACCGTTTCGAAGTTAACGTCTGTATTGAAGATGATGTTCACCGGAAACGCTGCGAACCAAATACAGACCAAATATAAAGACAACAAAGCAAATATGTCGGCGCGAAACAGCACTAGTAGTTCAACAAATAATAGTGGTTTGCCATCGCCTGTCGGACAGACGGCTCCGCAATCACTCGATGCTCAAGAGGTTGCGTACAGTGAAGTCTCCGATTTTGACATCGATGATAAAAGCATTAAAAACAATATAACCGCTGATTCTAACCATTACTCTAAAATACTTAACGATAGTCTGGAAGCGGATGATTGCGAACACGAATACGCGAATGTCATTCATCAGGATTTAAATAATTTGAATAAAATAAC